TTGAGGTTTTTGCTTTAGGGCGTGTGCGCTTACCAGAAAGAGAGAGACAGAGAGACAGAAAGCGAGAAATCACCCCCCCGGGGCAATGGCCAGGCCGCAATCCCTTCTCCTCCATTCTCCTCTCGGGATCTTGGGCATGCACGTACACACACCCTGCGTGAGTTTAAGCCACCGGGTCTGGGACTCGAACTGTGGTCGACTACATGGGAGTCCAGTGACATAGCCATTACGCTAACTGCTGATCCCTGGGGATGGTAGTTTTTTCATCATCAGTTGTCTCTGATGCAGCTTATACGAAATAATTGTTCTGTTAACTGAATATCACTCTGTAATTGCAGAAAAAAAAAGTTGAAGCTGTTTAGTTGACATTCTGAATGCTTCTAAGTAAATACAATTTTTTTAATTAAAAAAACCGTTAAGTCTTAAAAGATTAATGACAAAAGTGTCATAGGATTCATTAGTTTACAATATTACTTTTCTCATCACAGATGCTAGTCTTTATTTTATTTATTTATTTATTTATTTATTTTTTTAAGGTTCTTGCCATAAGGCACTTATGCTCACCAGAGAGAGACAGTGAGAAAATGAGAAATCACCCACCAGCGGGGATGGCAATGCTGTAATTCCTTTTCCTACATTGTTGTCCTGGGATTTTGGGCACATGTATGTACATGTACCCCACGTGATTTTCAAGTCACCAGGTCCAGCACTCAATCTATGGTCAGCCATGTGGGAGTCCAGCACTTTAACCATGCAGACATGAAAATTTTTTAAAAAAGTTATTTGATTATATTATCTGATATTCAATAGGATTTTATTGAGTTTGGTAAGAGACATTATAACAAAACTTAGAAAGATAATTAACTTATTTGACAAATACTTAATGAGGATTTATTAGAAATAGAAGCTAAGGAAATTACTAGAGTGGCTGGTGGAGTGGGCTGTGGTAGAAGAAAAGGGTAAATTGGTGAGAAATACAAACATAGCTCTTGCTTTTATATTCTATCAAAGACTTAAAAAACAATTACAATAAAATACTCTGGGCCAGCCTCTGGTATGGTGGTTAAGGCAGGTGGATCCCACATGGTCAACCATTTGGTTCAAGTCTGGGACAGAGTAGCTTGAAAAACACACTTGGTGCAGATGTGTGCATGCCCAAAATCCTGAAAGGAGGGAGAAATGGAGGAGAAGGGAAGGGATTACAACTTGACTATGTCCTATGGAGAATGCTTCCTTGCTTTCTATCTTTCTCTCTTCCTCCAGCAAGGGCACATGCCTTCTGACAAAATAAAATAAAATATCCGAAAAGTACAGAGCAGGTGGGGAGGGGCACTAACTTAGTCTAAGGGGAATTGTAGCCAGATAAAGAATGGGTGAAAAGATGGCAATTAAGAGAAATTTGAAGATACTTAGAGTGACTAAAGGAATTCTGTCATTCACTTAGAATGAATTAATGGGCAAGAGATGAGACTAAAAGGTCAAAAGGAATAGCTCCTGAACAGTATTGTAGGCTTTATTAAGAAGTATGGGCTTTGTTTGAAGAGCAATGGGACACCATTGTTTTAAAAGGTGATAGGTAGATTTGTAAACTATGCCTCAGATAAGGGACTGATAATCAGAATACACAGGGAACTCAAGTGGCTTATCTCCCCCAAAATGATTAACCTAATTAAAAGATGGGAAAAAGAGTTGAATAAACTAAGGAAGACATATGAACAGCCAAAAAGCATGTGAAAAAAATGCTCAACATCCCTCATTATAATGGAGATGCACAAACCAAAATGACATCAAATCCACAATGAGATACCACCTAACCCCAGTCAGAATGACAAAGATATAAAAAAAAAAAAAAAAAAAAAAAAGATAAGTGCTGGTGGGAATGTGGTAAAAGGGAAATTCATAGAACTACCACGTGATCCAGTGATTCCACTCCTAGGTATCTACCCAAAGGACAGGAGAATGCTCAGTAGGAAAAACGCTTGCACGACTCTGTTTATTGTGGCATTATTCATGATTGCTAAGGTATGGAACCAACCCACCTGTCCACAAAAACATAAATGGATTGAAAAAATGTGGCACATATACTCCATGGAATACTATTCAGCCATAAAAAACAACAAGACCCTGTCATTAGATGGAAAGTGGAAGAACATGGAAGATTTATTGTTGAGTGAAGCAAGGCAGGCTATCAAACAGAGACATTGCATGTCTCCACTTAACATGTACCTTCTGTATATATTCTATGGTAGAAACTGAAAGACTGGGGGACACGAAAGCATTGAAAATTGTTACGGGCACTGGGGACAAAGTGGAAGAAGAGTAGGAAAACAGAAAAGTGCAGGAAGGGAAATTTGGGGAAAAATGGAGAAGTAAGACATTTGATGATGTCATGTATAGTATTCTCAATTCACCTAGTATGTGGCGTATATCATGTTGGGTAAAATCTCTTTACAATCTAAATGATTTATAGCAGTTGAATGTATAAACAATAATAAATAATAAAAATAATAAAAGGAAAAATAATCGACCTAGATTTTAGAAAATTAAATAATAGTAGCATCCACAAATGCCATTTGTTTCTGGCAATGTATTGTGACAGACATAGTGTTGAAGAATTACCTCTATTATGTTTAAATCTTGTACCATTCTGAGAGCTATTATTATCTACATTTTATAAACTAGTAAACTAAGGCATCAAGAGGCTAAAGTCTAACATACATCACTAGTTAGTTTACAAAGCCAACTCCCAACTCCCTATTTTGTTTTCCCACCCACACAAACTTTAGCTGTTGTTAAGGCTTCACTATTACATCATTTCTGGGCATTGTCAAGAACAAATGTTTACTATTCTGTGTGTTTAGCTCCTAAAATTCTATCGCTGGCCCCATTGTTTAAAAATGAATAAGCTTCATTATTAAAGCAAGCTTGGCAATTCAGGGAATCACTGGTACCAAGTACTGAACAGAAGTAAGTAACCAGCTCAGAACTTGTCTCACAAGGTCTCGTTGCTGCTTTTTGATGACCACTAAGTAACAAAGTTTAGCTGTGTCTTATTTATTATTTTTTTGGTTACTGGTATTTGTTATTGCCAAACTATCATGTTTGCAGCCACCTGACAAATGAATGAGAAATTAGAGTCTTGAAGAAGCCCTAGTAATAAATATCAGTCAAGAGACAATTTTGCCAGCATTTGGCTGAAGCTGAGCATGGCACAGACATGGTACATAGGTGTTCTAGGCATCTGTATTCCAGTTGACATTAGCACTGCTCAGCTGTTCCAGATAGACACATTTATCCATGAGGAAGGTT